GCGTGTTGTGGTGAGACCTCCCCATCGATGAATAGCAGGGCTCTGGTACGCAACCGTACATTTCCTAGTGCCAACTGATTTACCGTTAATTTGATCTTTAGAGGCTCCTGATTTGTTGCAAGGAAATCTTTTTTCGTATGCGGCCCTCCCAGTAGAAACAATCTGCACGAAGCCTTCAAGCAGCAGGCCAAGGCATCTGGAACAGCACATGTTCTTACGAGCTTGCTCAAATAGAGCCTGCTTGTCAATCCTAAGAAGCTCCTGCCTAGCTTTCGGCGAGAGCTCACTCCAGAACTGTAGTAAATTTAACATCACGTCATTGAGCTAGCTCACGATGTATCCAAATTGTAAGAAAATACAATATGTAAACAGAAACTCAAAACCACGACTTAGGTTATATGATAAGCTAAAGATCCTAGATCAAAACCTTGTAGATTGAATCACAATGACAAAACCAAATCAGAATAACCTAAAACACTGATTAAGGCAACGATCAAATCTGATGAGCTCAATTGAACGTGGAAAATGAAGAGAATGGAATCTTAAAAATAAGAAAAAGGAAGAAGAGAAGAACCTCTTCCAACTGATCGTAGGTAACACCATCTTCGTCCTCAGACCAAAACCCAGAAGAAGAGTAATGCTCATTATTCATGTGTGTTAAACCCGGCATCGTTTTACACTTGTATTTGTTCATCCATAACCGTCTCTCACACACACGGGGGATAAATTACTCAGAGACGAGAAGCGACTCCTCCCGTCCGATTTGAATTCCGGCGAACAGCGAAATCACCCAAAAATCCAATCGGAGAAAATGTTCGATCGAGATCTATCGGTGTGAAGAAATGGATAACCCAATAACGGATGACGTCTATAGGAATCCTGAAATGAAGGAATCGAATCAAAACTGAGAATTGGGATTGGAATTGGAAAGAGACGCGAAACAGGGTTCGTCGGGGCGATGACGACGAGATTCGCAGCCAAGTATATATATTCAAGAGAGAAGAAGAAGAGAGAGAGAGAGACGCTGTGTATAAAAGAGGCGACGTGTTGTTAAAAAAAAAAAAAAACCTAATAAAATGTGCTTTACTGTTACAGTACGTGACTTTTTTTAACATTCTGGTAAAACTATCCATTTTTTTATTATTATCTTTAATGCCGAGCTGATTTTATATTTTTTTGTATAAAAAAGTCAAAGTGTCTTTTTTTTTTATGAACAATAAAGAAATCATTTTCTTTCAAAAATCTTTATATTTTGAATCGTGGTGGTGAATGTGGTTTACTGGTTTGTTTGGGACTTCAGCCTCATGTGTGAGTGTTGTCATTATGTTGTAATAATCCTCACTCTTCTTGTTTTTTAGTCATGATTTTGAGATATACAATATCAAAATTTTGATCAAATGAAGGATTGTGTGTTTCGAATTCAAAACTAGTTGGCAATAAATTCATTGGTTTATGTTCTTATAGTGTTGGTCTTTTCACATTTTAAATTTAAGACTTATATGTAAGTGATTATTAAGTTTTTTTTTGTTTGATACTTATTTTCGGTAAGAGTAACAAAATAAAGTATTGATTGAAATTGGATATGCAAATGATAGAAAGAACTTCCAATTTTGGTAACTGAATATGAAAATAAAGATGAGCCCCCAAAATATTGAAATGTGTACGATTGGTAAACAAATAAGAAAGATGGGAATCAAATAAATCAATAAAGAAAGATTGCCTCCAAGTTATGGCAATTGTCTTATAATGGATATATATTGGGAATCAAATAAACATCTTCTAAGAAATTGGTGGTATACAATCTACATAAATCTCTAAATCTTTTATTGACAAGAGTGAATTTTGAACTTCTTTAATGGATACGATATACTTTCTTTAATTTAAATCTCACAACTAATTTGCTATATATTTCTTGCATTGACTCCTCAGAATAGTGAGAGTTTTGATTTAAAGTTCGATTTAAGGCTTAGATAGATACAACCAAAAACGAAAAGGGTTTTAAACCAATGACAAATATAAATTACATTCGATTAAATAACAACATCTTATAACCAATAATCATAGTTCTTGGAACAGAAAAGAGAGAAAAATAGCCATAATAACAACAACAAGGAACAAAAACAAGAGAAATGGTAAATTGTTTATTTAGGACGTAGACTCAGGACCGGTCGGTTTAGAGTTAAGAAGAGGCTGAAGTGCCTTGACAACGATGGTCATGTTTGGTCGGAAATCTGCCTCATACTGAACACACAAGGCCGCCACGGCTGCCAACTGTCCGACCACACACAAAGAACAGTCAAGATTACAAAACTAAACAAATGATCATATCTCCCTAGTTTTCAAAATATAATGTCTATATGCATCTTTTTTTTTGTTGCTAAATGTCTTTAATGCATCTAATATCAAATAAACCAGGAAAAGAAAATGAAGATATCGTTTGATATTTGAAAAAGAAAATGTAGAACGGACCTTGGCGACTGCTTTGGGAGGAAAGTCGTTGTTAAGCTTAGGATCTATGCATTGTTTCACTTTGTCTTCACTTAGTCTCGGTGTTGCCTGTAACAACAAGACAAAAGTTAAAAGGGGCTAATAATGATGACATATATGAACATGTTTACTTAAATTTGTGTACGTACCCAAGTAACAAGACTTTGTTGGCCTTTAGGCATGGTATGATCTACGGGTTTTCTTCCTGTCAAGAGCTCCAATAGCACAACACCGAAACTATACACATCACTCTTCTGCGTTATCTGTCCTGTCATTGCATACCTAAGACAACAACACTCCTGCGGTATCAAGAACAATCCGATTGTTTTATACAAATGAATTAATGGGTTTATGGTACAGTACTCTGGAGCGTGGTAGCCGAATGTTCCCAAAACACGAGTAGAGTGAAGCCTAGCCGCGGTATCGGAGGAAGCATTGGTCAAGTTGAAATCAGCCATCTTGGCCACGAAGTCATCAAACAACAAGACATTGCTCGACCTCACGTCCCTGTGGACTATTGGTGGCTGGACCTTCTCGTGAAGGAACTCAAGCCCTTTGGCTGCTCCATATGCAATCTTTACCCTTTGGTTCCAGTTCAGCACAGGTCCTGGCTCAGCCCCTTGCACTCCCTTTCTCCCTATAGGATTTGGTTGGTCCATATATGTCATATACCACATTACTAAAATATTAGTAGTAATTAAGAGTTGAATTTACGTACCGTGTAATACATCGTGTAAAGAACCTTTGGTTGCAAACTGGTAGATGAGAATGCGGTTATTTGCCTCCAAGCAGTACCCCAGCAACTCCACAAAATGGTCGTGTTTGAGCCGCGATACCACCGATAACTTGCCATTGGTAATTGAAAATTAGATTAGAAAATACCATTAGTTTGATCTAACCATCAATGAAAGGTAGAAGCTTGATCAATCTTTTAGAAAATGGAAAGCAGAATATATAGAAGCTTGATCAAATTTTAGCTGTGTGGGAAAAAAAAAAAAACAGAAGATTGATAGATATTTGGTGTATTGGCAGTGAAAAACAGAGAATCTTGATGAGAGCATTGATCGATTTTAGTCTGTCGGCAGCGAAAAAGAATCGATTTTAGCCTATTGAAAGCAAAAAAAAAAAGAGAGAATCTTGATCGATTTTGAACCTATTGGCATCAGAATAATAGAAGCTTTTACAATATTAGACTAGTGGGAGCGAAAAAGGATTGAAGATTGATCCGGGGAATAAGCAGAATTGAACAGTTTTTGTAACATAAATGTGTACCTGTGAGGTGAAATCTGAGTCAGGTTCTTCAGAAGAGCTAGCATCAAGTTTCTTGATAGCAACAGCTTCTCCCTTAAACTTGCCGCAGAAGACACGTCCATAAGAACCTTCACCGATCAGTGCCTTGTTTCCGAAGTTACCGGCCATTCTGTTCAACTCATCCAATGCAACAGAAGGGATCTCTATGGGCAAAACCTTTGCAGGAGCTCCTGATCTCGGTGCGTTCGGATTCCTCGGTTCCCCTCTATTCCCACCTATCCATACACACACGCAGAAACGCAAAATGCAAACGCTCGTTGTGAAACTCAGAACATAAATGTACAAGCAACGGTTGAGGAAGATTAGGGAATTTACCGCCAAAATTGGGATTTCCGGCCTTGTTAGGAGGGGCTGCATACTGGTTTGCGGGCGGACCGGCGGGTTCCTCATCCGCACCACCGCAACAGAACATATCTTCAGATCTTTTGCCAACACGGGTTTTGTCTTATTTATGTCTTTTCGATTCTGTTTCTATCGATCTCTGTTTTTTATCTGTTAAAAACTTTTGAATATTATGATCCATTGTTTATGAACCTAAATTCGTTGGAGAGAAAAATGGATTTTTGAAACAACAATTGGTAATCTAGGATCGAAGAAATGATTATTACCTCGGTAATGCCATAGAATCAACCCAAGAAAATGATGATGATGATGATGATGATGATGAGAGTGAAAATACTTCAGAAAACCACAAAGGAAGGATCTGTTTCTGAAAACTTTGAATAATGTCGGGAAAAATATCAACGAGCCTGAAAAAATTTAGAAATCTGGAAAAGAAAGTTTGAGGAAAAAAGAAATTAATTTTCTTATTTGGGTTTTCTCAGAATTATTGTAAGTCTCTCTGTTTCTCTGCTCCGCGATAAAGTCGGATGACAAAAAACACATTCGCTTATAATTTTGTTATTTTAATATAACCAACGTAGGAAATGTTAACTTGTCTCCACGTCTTGCACGTCCTCTCCTAACCATACTTCTAATTTATCTTTGTAATCATATTCATATTTCTAAATTCTGTCCCATCATTTGGTTGAATTTATAATTTATCAGTTTGGTACGTAGAAAAATTAGATTGACAATTGGAAATCATTGTTCAGGATAATGCATGATGAATCATTCTGTGTGTATATGTTCACATATATACGTATCCTTTCTTAGATATGAATCTGAACGTATGAAAAAAAAGAAACCATGTGATGGAAGAATAGAACAAAAAAGATGGTCTTTATTTTTTCCAACAAAACCAAGGTTACAAGACACAGATTGTAATATTGCAAACCACAAAATATTTCAACCGATCATGGGATAATTTTTATCTCATAGTTACTGAAAAAAAGAAAGTTGAAGAAAAAATTTCGAATTTTCAACTCCTTCCATATGATCAGGAAGCTCTCTCAAGGCTGTTATGTACATCATCCGTTTAGATTCAATCAACTCTTACTTTTCTTTCTTCTCTTCTTATTTCCCATTTTGCTTTGGCATCATGAATCATCATCATTCATTAGCTTATTCTTCTTTCCAAATCCGTCCAGTGACTCGCAACTTGAGCTCTTCTTTGTCACTGCCAGAGAAGTACAAAGCCAAGTTTCTAGGGATTATGAGTCCATCTTGACTATCTCGGACTTTCCTGTGACTGTCTCTGATGCTCCTGGGAATCCCTTGCCATGTCAGTTTGCGGCTGTGAGCTCCAACTTCCAAGCTATAACTGAACTTCTTAGCCTCGTTCTCGTCTCCCATGAACCGTAGAAACGCCATGTACACTGGTGCCATCCCGAGCTGAAACGCCTCAAAGTGTAAGCAGAACTGTCTTCCGAAACAGTTGAAGACCTAAACAGCATCAGACGAAAATAAGATTCAATTCAAGTAGTGAAATTGCAAGTTCCTTTTCTTACATATGGAAAAAAATGCCTCACAGAAAATCAACAGTCCGATACAAATTCAGGGTTCAATGTTCAATTCAATTCAGGGCTCAAGTGTTTTATAACAAAATAATGAAGACCTATGAAGTATCAAAAATGGATGTGATATGGACGATGAATTCCAAAAACATGATGAGATATGACTTTTGAGTGAAAGGGTAACACCAAATACATATTAACAATGACTACATGGCTATAAGGGAATGCATAACTATCAGAATTACCGTAAGCATCCATGTAGCATTCTCGACCTCGTGCGGATTTGACTTCACATAACGGTGGTTGAAAGTGCATCCATCATGCATGTCAACTTTATGATCATCTTTGAGATGGTCAACAAGCGTTGGAATATCACCCGTCACTGAACACTCAGAACCAGCGTAAGGACAGTTGTAGGATCGAAACCTGCAATGCTGCTCATGCTTGAGCTTGCTGTAATACGGAAAAATGTCATGACACCCTAAATTTTGGTACCGGCATGGAACTTCCAATGATTCTGCAACCTTCTCAAGAGCCAAGCATCTTATGTTACCAAGCTCATAGCGGCATGTAGGGCATGTGTTCTGCACTCTCAGTTTGCAGCTTGAACACAATGTGTGGCCGTTCGGGCACTATGGGAAATTAATAAACAGAGATGTCAACATTAAATGAACGAAGAACAAAACTGAAGAATGAACCATATTTTACAGATCAAGATATATGTAAGTGACTACCGAAGAAAGAAAAGTGACAAACCTGATGAATTGGAGGATACATTAGATTTGTACAAACCAGACATTCGAGGAGCTCATAAACACCATTGCTCGAATGGAATTTTCCAATGGGGCCACTACCTGACTTTGTTGGTTTGCTATTAGTCTCAACCCTTGACATCTTAACCTCATAATCTAAGCCTGTCGAGTTAGATTCTAAAGCTTCTTTCAACGCACTGCCACCAGGAGCCATGGAGAGTCCAAACCTACCCAAAACTTGTTTTATTTCTAATAGCAATTAAGTAAAAATCCCTTGTCCTCTCTTGTTGCAAATGATTTACTCCTTTGGATCTTCGTTCTTCTGCAAGAAAAAATTAATGATGGCCCAATGTAAGCATATATACATCACCGAGGAAAATTGAAGGAAATGTTATCATAAGCAAGCAGGTAACATGTTAGTTAAAAAATTGGAGCAAAGTAGGTTAGTAGGTAGGTACCTGGTGCACTTGATCAAGTTCTTTTCTTTATTTCCGGAAAAAAGGGTTCAACAATCTCTTAGCAGTACACCATACTGCAAACCCAGTCTTATACGGTCGCGGTCCAAGCATATAAAACGTAGCAGCGACTACGTTTGGAAAGAAGGATAGCCTTGTGAACTATTGTGACTAAGTTCATTCCCAATCAACTGAAATTTGCCAACACATCTCTCTTTCCGCGATCCTGTTTCGTCTCAGGTTCCTCGATTCTTCACAATCCTTTTGAAATGCTAGCGGAATAAAAGTAACAAGTTAGGCTTTAGTTATATTTTGCTTATTAGAAAACTCAAAGAGAAAAAGTTAATCTATGAACAATGCTAAAAGCATACAAGTTCCAATATTTAAACTGTTATAGTATAACAATCACAGGCTAATCAAACATAAAAACTAGAGCTATCAAATGAAATAATGTGTTTTATAATTTTGCAGGACATACTTTTCAATCTCACTATACAAAAGAGAAAGTGATTCAAAATGAAAACACAACAAGTAGAACATAAATCAGAACGAGTATTGTTGACCTGTATAACACAGATAAGTTCAAACTATGGAGATTTTCAAAAACTTGTACCCACAAAATTATTCAAAATCTCCTCATCAGTGACAAAAGTAAATTTCCCATTACATGAAATAATAGTTTACGAATCCATAAACTAAGCAATTCAAAGACAATTGACAAGAGGAACATTAACTCATCCCAAAAAAGACTAGCCAGATTCGTCACAATAAGCACCCTCGAACGAAAAATAAAACACAGAACCAAAAACCTAGTTCTCAATTCCTTAGTTCGTGATATTCCCAGAGAATAAAAACCCCAATTTTTGAATGATAAAGAGAGAAAATTTTACCCCGGAAGAAATTTGCAGGCGGTGGCGTTCGAGTTATGGAGGTTTTGCTTCAGATTCACATGAGGGCGAAGAATCAACGAACAAGAAATCGGTGAAAGAAAGAAACTTGAATTAGGAAGATGAAGAAACCAATTAAGACGGCAGGAGAGGGAGGAGATTAGTTGTGCCGTGTCTTGTTGTTGGTATCGATGAGAGAAAGGCCATTAATGGTTTTGCTCTGTTTTTATTACAGCTTTTCAATTTGAAATTCACCCGATTTTGTTGTTTTTTACTTTTTGGTCCCTTTTTTCCTAAATTGACCAATCTTGTCCAAAACTATTCTTTAGGGGTCAATTCATCAAAATAAATGTAGGTGTGGGCTGACCAACAAAACAACGAAAAAAGGTGTCCTCGTCTCACAAGTTTTCAAATGTGTTTGTTAAAAATTTTCTCTGTTTCATTATTGTCGATCAATTCGAATTTTCCAAAAAAAAGTCTTCATTTTTTGATTGATTACAGGGTGAAATTGAATTAAAAGTGCATTATACGATTTAAATATATCTCTTTATTCGAATGTTGATAACTCAACATTTTTAAAAAAATTTGGATACTATAGTATAACAGCCAAACTATCAACACCTTTTATAAGCACCACTTTATAGTTATACAAAACAAATCATGTATACTTATTACATACCTTATAGATAATGTGAAAAGTTCATCAATTAATCAAACCTCTCTCCATCTTATTCTCAACTCTCAAGATATAATAATCCACACAAATTATATATGTCAAGCTTACTTATTAGTATATATCAAATGATTTGATTCTCTTTCAGACTATTATGCCTCGGCAAGCAGCAAATATGCTTACTTGGATCCAGTTGCCACCTTCCGAATGACATAGAAGAAGGCCCATAAATTGGTCCAGCTGATCCAGGGCCAGACACATTTGGAAGTCAAGCTGAGTCTTGTATGATTGTATCCTGTGCAGTGTTTGTGATTTGTGAATGAGCTCAAAGATAAGTCATCATCTGAGCATTGAAAGTTTCTTATCAGTTGGACAAGGACACATCATTATGATTAATTAATAGGGAAGAAAGTTCTTTCACATTCAATGGCCTGCAAAGCCTCATAGAAGATCCATCCTTGATTTGTTAAAATTGGAAAAATCCAAGTTCTAAAACTTTTGCATATAGTAAAAATCGGAAAATGTTATAGTAAAGTCCTCAAGTTTTGTCCCGATTCTTTACGAGGAAGTAAATGGGTCACTATCGATTACATAAGGAAGAGGTAATGTGAATGGGCTTGTTGTTAATTTGTTACCCACCAAACCAAACTGAGCAAGTAAAGAAAATAATAAATGCGTGAAATCTACTAATTCCTTGTATTGAAGAAAGACTTTTTTCAAATCTTCAAAGACATTCTGGGTAACTCTGTCAGCACAGTTGACTGTCTCATATCCCCACGCGCTGAGTTCCGAACGTGAAACTCACCTTCAACCATCTCTAAACTTTGTGTTTAGCCACGCGTGTAACCGCGTGAGTAAGAGCCACCAACAATGGGACCAACTTGCTTAAAAAGATTTATGGGTTTTCGCTTTTATTGCACACTCTCCCAAAATCGTAAAGAAGCAAGCGTTTGTGTTTAGATACGTGGTGGTGGTGGACAAAGAAAAGAACCAAACACGGCACTAGCATCTCTGTTTTATTGCTCTGCTTAGTACTTGCCTCTTCCATAACTCTGTCTTAAAGGAAAGAGAAAGAGAGACATGCATGCGAAGACAGACTCGGAGGCAACAAGCATAGACGCGGCGGCTTTGTCTCCGCCGCGTTCAGCGATTAGACCTCTTTACTACGTACAGAGTCCATCCAACCATGACGTGGAGAAGATGTCATTCGGGTCTGGTTGCAGCCTAATGGGTTCACCTTCACACCCACATTACTACCATTGCTCACCAATCCATCACTCCCGCGAGTCATCCACCTCTCGCTTCTCCGACCGTGCCCTTCTCTCTTACAAGTCCATCCGTGAACGCCGCCGGTACGTCAACGACGGAGACGACAAATCTGACGGCGGAGATGACGACCCGTTTCGAAATGTGCGCCTCTACGCTTGGTTGCTTCTCTCCGTAGTCTTCTTGTTCACAGTCTTCTCTCTTATACTCTGGGGTGCTAGCAAACACTACCCTCCCAAAGTTGTCGTAAAGGTAACTCCGGTGACTCGAGCTGAGCTAACTCGTCTAGTGGACGAGTGTTCTGTTTTTTCCTTAAAAGAAACAACTTTGGAAAAAGCCAGCTATGAATATAAATTTATATTATTTGTTTTCTTTTGAAGAAGACAAAAGTATCTATTGAGACAAATGTGTTTGGAATGTGATTAGGTGTCAGACTGAAAATAGTTAAATGTGTTGTTGTTGTTGGACTGCAGGGGATGCTGGTGAGGAACTTGAACGTGCAGGCAGGGAATGATCTTAGCGGAGTGCCAACGGACATGCTGTCTCTTAATTCGACGGTCAGGATCTTCTACAGAAACCCATCGAATTTCTTCGCCGTCCACGTCACTGCTTCTCCTCTCCTCCTTCACTACTCCAACCTCCTACTCTCCTCCGGTGAGATGAACAAGTTCACGGTTGCTAGACACGACGAAAGGACCGTAGTGACGGTGGTGCAAGGCCATCAGATTCCTCTCTACGGTGGTGTCTCTTTCCATCTCGACACTCTCTCCCTCCCGCTTAATCTCACTCTTGTCCTTCATACAAAAGCTTACATTTTGGGAAGACTCGTCACCTCCAATTTCTATACAAGGTTCATCTGCTCATTCACTCTCAATGCCGACCATCTCCCAAAACCCATCTCTCTTCTCCGTTCATGTAAAGATTACCACTGATTACACTTGTGTGTGTGTTCTTCTTCTTTTGCCATCAAATATTAATCCATCAACTTTGGTAAATGCCACAGACAAATAAGTGATCATATATAGGTGACACCGCTTTATTAGCATTCAAGAGCCAATATATTACTAGAAAAATCAAAGCCCCTTAAACCAAATATAATCTATACAGAGGTTATGCATAGAGTTGTTTTAGTCTGACAATCTCTCTTCAGCTTCTGAGTGACCTCTTTGTTTCTGCATCTACTGCTTATGTGTGTCTCTTGAGTAATCTGAATCAGACACTTGATTGATGCTCACCCTCTGTTAATTTGGAGCTTATACATATCCAGAAGGATGGGTTAACTCACAGGCAATGGATGAGCATCAAGTTTCAGTAAAACGATTAGCAACTGGAGAAGTAGCAATCACAAGTGAACTGAAACTTTGAGCTTTTACACACTTTAGATTCTTTGACTCTGCAGTTAGATAAAACATACATTTGCAAACTAAAGACTATCCTGCAAAAACTTACTACCCAACTTAGAATAGAAGGTGAGTTCTCTGTTACATAGCAAGCAATTTATAGTCCCCATTGCAGTATACGATTTTTGAAACCATGAATGACTTTCTTCTGCTTTCATTTTAGGCAATTGTTGAATGTTTCTTTTAAAGTCCGGTAAAGCGAAAAGACGATGTGATTTCTGTGATGAACACATTCAGTGTTCTCTTTTGGTGTTCAGCTGGTAAAGCGTTGGAGGTGTTTCCTTAAACAAGCTAGATTTTCCAAGTACAGACCTTCTCAAGGTCTAGGAGAAGCTCAGGAAACAATTGGTCTTAGTGTTAGCCTTCCGAATTGGCCTGCTTGGGGCACTGGCAAATTGTTACACATTCAGTTTTCAAAGATTTATCTCCTTCTGTTCACTGACAAATGAGTTTTAGGAGACTTAGTTAGTGGATTGTATTAGTCCAAGACCCTCAGGATCTTCAGACTTTATGAGTCATAAGACAAGAGCAGAGCATACGAAACATATATTTCGTTGTACCTGGACCTAATACACAGATTTATTTCAGATCAACTAGCTGGTACCTATTATACAAGTATGGTATAGACATAGCTAGGGAGGTCTAAGTGGCGCAAGTAGCACAGGTGCAGCCCTCACCACAGGTTCAGTCCTTGGCGGAGGTTTGGGTTTGTGATTGGGTCTTGGGGCAGTTGCAGGGGTTGCAGCCGCAGTGCTCCCCACATGGGCACAACATGTGCCCTTGATCCCCACCAGAAGCTTCTCTCATCATGCACCTACATGGAATGAAACCACGTTTTAAGATCACAACACATCAAAACCTGGAGCATATAAAGGACCAACCTGCAGGATTTGCCTCCGGGACAGGGAGAAGGGCAGCCACAGCGATCGTTGCAGACAGTAACAGAGCTTCCTTTGCCTGTGTCTGCCATTTTCTTTTTCTCTCTTTTTCAAGCTCCTCTTCCACATTCAGATATATATAAAGACGCTGAGCAATGCAAAAAGATACGTGGTGGGTACTATGTACCATGTGGCAGCTTCTCCTCTAACCTCAGTCGTGACAAAGCATCCTGAATTCAAACGTGCTACGTAACCAACAACATCATCCCAAGAGTCGTTGTTTGGTTTGTCAATATTATGGCCAAATGAAAATTGAAACGGAGTTTTTTTTTTTTTCAAATGCTATTTTTTTTTTTCTCTTAATTAAAATTTTATTCGTAACAAATGGGCTACAACAGATTACAGCCCTACAAGGCCCATACAGATATATTGCTTAAAGATGAAGAAATGTTTCTCAGTGGTCGTTCACCAAATAAACGTGTCAACAAGTCGTACACGTGTTGGATGAAAATTCTAAAAGCTTTCCGACATCAACCTCCGCCGTCTGAGATTCTATTCCGGCGAAGAAAATCGTCGCCGATAACTATAATTCGACCATTGATTCTTCTGATTTTCACCAAAGACGAATCGAAACTCCAAACAATTGTAATCACGGCTGAAAGGCATCTTAAAATCGCGAAGGAAAATTCTTCTTTTCTTCAACTTTCTTCGCAAATTATCCCTGAAATTTTTGTAAACCGTATACCCAACAAAACGATCCGGAGAAAAGCCACCAACATATGCTATATGTATAAACAAATCAACCGTAGATCCAATGGTTCTAAATTGATCTGATTTATCATAAGATGGTAAAGCTTCGCTTCAAATCTAACGAACATAAAAAACTTGTATGAACATAGAAGAGAGGTGTGTCATCTCATGAAACTCTGTAAGAAACAGAGACGAAAGACAAATCCCCTTTATTGAAAGCAAACAAACAACACCTAACAAAGGTGACGGCAAAAGAACACGGCAACGGAAAGCCATGTCGACGGCAAGAACACGGCAACGGGAAAGCCATGTCGACGGCAAGTACACAGCAACGGAAAAGCCATGTAGACGGCAAGAACATGGCAACGGGAAAGCCATGTCGACGGCAAGAACATGGCAACGGAGAAGCCATGTTAACGGGATCAAAGATAATAGTCTCTCTCTGAAAAATATTTGAGAGAGAAGAAAGAGAGAGACTCGCTCTGTTCTCCTATTGAAACGGAGTTTATAGTTGAAAAATATTATCAAGCCCAAAGAATCAAAACACTTGACACATGCTCAATGGTTATTACTTTTAACAGAATAACATTCCAACACTTTGACACTTGCTTTCATTGAAAGTAGAAAAAATTCCAACAAAAGAAACAATGTGTCCAATTTCTTTCACCTACCTACTCTTGGAAGATCTCACTCAGGGAACTCCAAGTACCTGAGACACCAAGAATGACACCCAGTAGCAGGATCCCCACGTCTAAAGCTCGTTGCTTCCACCCCATTTCGTCTTTGAAGACCATCAGATGAAACAAAGAAGGCAACACAAAGCCCAACGCACAACAGACGCTGCTACCAACCAATGACAAAAAATCTGCAAAATTTGGTACCAAGAGAGCCACCAACGTCACTGCCAAGACAAGTAGCCATCTGAGCCAGACGCAGTACATTCCACTCCAGAAACGTCTCTCCACGATCTCAAACACAGGATTCATCATCAACGGGAAGGTAAAGAAGAGGTTGATGCAGAGCCCCAGCTGGACAAGACTGCTCACCACTCCTGCCCCCAAGTTAGCTGTGATTATGTCCATGGTTTCATCCCCAAAAGCCATGTAGCCTAACACACCAAAAGATCCATACATCACAGCAATAAATAGCATGCTGAGGGCCAACACTTTGCCAAACTTGTCCTTGTCCTTGGTCTCGGATTCAAGAGGCAAAACCATTCCAACCCCTTCAAAAGCATAAACGGCCACTCCCATCCCATAGAAGAACACAGACATACCACCAAAGGCTACAACTTGAGGCCTTTGCACCACTGTAATCTTGATATCCTCCACAATCACCACCGCCATTGCACCCAAATCAACCACATCAGCGAATATGCTCAGAGGGGCCAAGTGAGTTAGAGTCTTAATAGAATTCAAACCCAGCTGAAACGGAAAGCATCCCCATATGTAGAGACTCTTAGGGGACACACCCATAAAATGCCTCAGACTCATCAAAGTCGTAGTCGTGGTTGGGTTAAAGAGATTAGCTAAAGTAGTACCGATGAAGATAAGGTATCCAACACAAAACCCAGCCTGAGACAAAATAATAAGAATGTCGACAACAAACCTCCCGACGTGGCCGCAAACAGCAAACCCAAGGTCCCCAAAAGAGCCAATATTGGAGACACCAAGCTTACGACGGATATGAACAAGAAGCATCATGCAATGGTTGATCAAAGCGGCGACGGAAAAGAGCGTAAGCAAACCCATGAGCCATCCGGTTCGTTTGAAGGCGTAAGGAAGACCAAGAACCCCAGCACCAACGATAGCAATGAAGACATTGGCGAAAGTCTTGAACTTGCTCGACAATGGTCGTCCTTTACCAAGAAGCGGTGTGTCTTCTCTCGCCCTTCCTTGTTCCTCCAAACCCATCTCTATACCTGATTAGAGATGGGCTCTGGAGATCAAAAATTCGACGCAATCGAAGATCTAAGATAGCCAGAGTGAAGATCGGACGATCCACCGGCATTTGCTCGCTGTTATCCCTTGAATGCTATTTAAAGGCCAAACCTTTCCATCAATTTTGCTATAAAAGATGAGATTGTGGCTGACTATTGTGGAATGCATTACGAGGTACATGTTGCATTCATACGAATAGTTGATGAACACAAACATGGTAGGAAAATTTATAAATAGATTTAGAGTGTAATAATATATATCAGCCAACCTATTAACATCTTTATTCATTTTTTTATAAGCACCACTTTATACACAATAAATAATGTGCAAAGTTTATCAAATTAATCAAATCTCCCTCCACACAAAAAAATCTCAAAAGTGTGCCACTGCTTCCTTATTATCAAATGGTTAGATTCTCCTGAATGGCTATGAACGATCCGACAATGTTACCTCCGACGTCTGGGAAAGTCTCACTCCCGGGAAGTGGTCGGACTTTACCTTTCCGATCAACTTCCACTGGATACTTTAACAAATGTCCTCTCATGTCTGAGACTTCTTCAGCCGCAAACTGTTTCCAGTTCCTCTCTCCCATTGTTCTCACTTTCCTTACACATTCTATACTTTCCGGTTGGGTGAAACAGTCATCTAATGTTGCCATATGCTCTGCCCAAAGCGACATTCTGTATCCATAGATCTGCAGAGGAACAAGAGAAAGCCAATGATCCAAATTCTAGAACTGAAACATGAACTCGTATTTGGTTCATCTTTGCATGGTTAGCGGGATTTACCTGACCCCGAGGACCAGAATGTTTCCTTGCCCATGTATGTTGAGGCTGGTAAGCTCCCATTGCAATCTCTGTATCTCTTGTGCCTTCCATTGATCGTTGGTTTATGTTTGCAGATCCAATCAATACGTATTCATCATCAACTACCATCCCTTTTGAGTGAACATAGACCATAAATCTTCTGCTTTTCCGACTCAACGCCTGCAACACCACCGGGACTCCTCGTTTCAAAAACATGAGAAATTTAAGCAGCAGGCATTCTCGGCGTTTAGTTACCTGAGGAGTGTTTGCATTGCTTGGACTCCCTGTTCCTGAGTTATCGATTCCATCCACCATTTCTCTGTTCCCAAGACAGAAGAAATTGAGGTAATCTTGTGGGGAGAATGCTCCTTCAAGCCCTGTCTCCACTAACGCCTTGTAGATAGTCTCATACATCATCTGCATTGTCTTGTGCTGCGAAGATGATAACACTGACATTCAGTTGCATAATCTAATCTCCAAATACCCAGACAGAACTCATGTAACAAACATGAATCTTACATACATATATCTTACTTCTAAATAGTTCAATCATATTGATGATATATGGATCCATCATGTATAAAGAACATATCTCTACTTAGTTTTGTGATTTCTGGTTTGAGAAATGTAAGGAGGATTTTGGCTTAGACAACCACGCCAAAAGTTTTACTCAGAAATACCTGCCAATATAGAATCCTCTGTGTAGCAGCGCCGGTTGGAACACCTTCTGGCCACATCGGGATGACAATATAAGCAGCAAACCGTTCATTTGCCCTGATCTTTTCAGCTATCTTCAAAGCAATTTCCATAGGAATCAAATTATTCGCACCTACAAACCAATGTTGTATAACAATGTTAAGAGCCAATACAACTCAAATAGAATGCCAAATGCCAAATAATAATAAAAACCGGAAACTGACACAAATAATAAACCTAAACCTAAAGTTGACAAGAATAATTACATAGATGTCATAACATGTGACAAAACAGCGTATCCTACGACAAAAATTCATTACTCTAGGAACAAACTTAAGTTTCTTGTATTCTAGAAATTAACAAGCAGAGACATATGACCAAACCTATGTCCTTATGCGCATTCCAGTTGTAGGAAGACCCAATGAAATACTGATTCTCAATATAGATGAAGTGTTGGGCTGCACGAATGGCTTTGACATACGCTGTGTGTATGCTCATATCAATTAACACGTTCTTCCCACACACCAAGTTCTATCCAAAACAAAAACCTTTTCGCGATTAGTTTTCTGACATGTTTTAGACCCCCAAACATAATGATAGCTAAAGATTCCTTCGAATTTTTAAGTCACCTTGCATGTAGCATCTTTTGGATCCTTTGGGAAACCTTTCACAGAGTTTGAATCGATTGAACGGAAAATCTGTATCAAACCAGAAGAACATTAGCTTAGGTTGCAAAATATGAACCACAATTATATTCCCACTATAATGAAATAATTTCCAGGACAATATTTTTGGACCAAATTTCAAAATTCGCATGATAAATCATGGCTTCATAAAATACTCAACATCTCTGGTCATTCAGTAACAGTTTTGATGTTCATACCTGAACATGCCAAGCCTCAGGATCGTTCTCACTAACAGTAGGAGTATCAGAAACTCCTAATATATCTGGAATCCTATCAATCCTTAACAATGCATCGTCATAGGAAGTCTTAAACTTCTTGATCCCGCTAGGCTTCGCAGCCTTCAACCATCTCTCCTCGAAGTTGGTCAGAACATCATACGCAGCCGGGCCATCGATCTTACTGTGTAAGTCATGCCACGGCTCTCTTGGACATCCTGAAAGATTTCCCTGTTGAAATGATAACATATTTTAAGTACAATCCTTTTCAGAATAAAAAGATTGGGTACCAGATGGTCATTAATGTAAGAGCTCAACAATTCTTGATGTTTACAAATGACAAAATCCACCAGGGGAGCTATGCAAGATTGTGAAAAGACAAACAAAAAAACTGAAATAACTTTGGAATACAAGATCTCAACCAAAATTCAGCTATCTGGTTTTATATGACACAACGAAAGCACGTCTATTGAATTGATTAGAAATTAGCGAATTCTTTGCATACTCCTTTAGAAACCAAATGAAGCCAGAACAAAGACTAAAGAATAAATGTCAAACAATACCATTCAAACAAGTTAAATATCACGTTTCCATAAAAATAGGCTCTTACCTACTGTTCAAGGTAATTGCTTGCTAAGTAATTGCCAAGAAAGCTACACAAGATTCTAAACAGAAAGTTGACATTAAGAAACTGTACCGTAAAAGTGGGGTTGTGAAAATCATCTTTATGAACTGTCTGTAGTGTCCTGAACAACGGATGTTGAGGAGTGTCATATCGGCCATCACACAGATCAAGCCCACCGACAAAAGCTACGATTTTCCTTCTGTTACCACCAGCATCAGCATCTACTATTACGTTTTTTTGATGATGTGTATAGATTGTCCCAACTTCCTGATAGACAAAAATTAAATTAGAAGCTCGATTCCTAGTTTGGAAAATAGAAAAAGTAAAAAGAAAGTGGTACTCTACCCTCTGCTTGACCCAACTATGTCGCTTTCCAGCATTTCGGGGGCAAAGCAAGACTTGAACTGAGGAGTGCTTAAAAAAACGTCGTGTCTCCTCATCATGAGTTGCCATAACCCCATCCTTTCAAGTTAATAAGTTGAGTCAAAAGTTAAATTAATATGAGACATATACCTCAAAAATGCAGTTGTAGTTACTACATGAATCAGGCTTTCCAATGTAATACTGAATTTTAAACTCATATGACTTAATGATTACAAGAAAAATTGTTAATATATAAATGAAGATATGTCATAAAACCAAAGGCTATCGATTAATGAAAATCTAAATATATTCCGACTTCCACACACTAAATATGAAATAGATACGATATATTAATCAGGAAACAAAGAACACAAACGAAAAGAAAGGGCAGGCAAGGGTGTGTGTAACTTACTGTTTTATAACCCAAGATGCTACGTGAAGTTGGGTCATCCCAAATCAAAAGGAGGACTCTCACGCCTTCTTGGGACTTTGATCTTAGGAGCTCCCCAAGAGTACATTCGGATGCCGGACCTAATTTATCACGAACCAGCCTAACTTTGTGCCACACTGACCAACCTGTGATATAAATTAAACGCCTTGCCTGGCGTATGGCATCAAACATATCATGCCAACACTTCCCATGTTCATAAGACATTCCATTGTCCAGTCTTATACCAGGTAGCATCCCTTCTGGGACATGTGCATCTTGATACAATCTCACAGTTCCGCCTTTTCTAAGTGGAAAATATGTTCCAGGTACCCCTTGGTAATCAGGACCTGCCCCAACTCCATGATGATAAACACTGAGTTTTTCCATAGGAGTATACTGGATCGATAATGATAAATTTGCCCCTGGTTTACAAGGCTTCCCATTACTGTTTAGAATCGGATAAGTTCCTTCAATTTTGGCACCTGAGTATATCTGTTCCACCGGGATTGTAACCAACCCTATTAGCTGTGAACCCACAACATCACTGTCTTTAACAACAAAATGAACTTCTGCAGCATGATGAGCAACAGGAACATAAAAATGTTGCATCCAAACAGGATTTTCGCTGTTACTCATGACATATGTTCTTCCAATCACAGCACCTGCAACTGATACAGAAACGTAAGGGTCACTGGTAATCTTACTACTAAGCTGCCCTTCAATTTTTCCTGGCAATCTTCCAAACATATCACCCAATGTCTTATGGAACATATCCATGTTAGGGAGATTTTTTGCATGATAGATCCAAATATCCAAATTCCCATGCAACAACAGGACCTTCAAAGACCCTTTACCAAACAGCGTCATCTGCATATCTGCACTATGTGGCGATTCGGTAGATGCATAGCTAGGAGTATAAGAACTTGACGAATCTACTCTCCCTAAGTGTGGCAAATGAGAGTTACTTGGAAACGAGCTGTTAGGGTAACCATACAAGTCCCCAGGGCGGCTTTGCCAAGAGTTCGAAGGGAGGGAAGATAACTGTGGAACTGAGGGGCCTGGTTGGTTAGTAGAAATGTGCAGACCACCTAGAAGTTCATCCACAGGAGGATAAGAAGATCCAGAATTGCTTACATTATCATGACCTGTTCCCCCGGAGCTGAGACAATCTTGCCTACGATACTCTGGATAACCTTGAGTTTGCGGAGGAGGCTCTTGCGGTTTAGTTTCAGGTGGGGGGTATTGAGCTGGCTCTTGATACGACGAATAGTGAGGAGGCGGACCATAAGCACCGAAGTTAGCTTGCGGTTGATGACCAGAATAAGGGTAAGGAGAAGGTTGGTAGTCGAAAGAATGTCGGTG